GCGGACAGCACGCTGGACTTGTGATCCTGTGGTCTTGGGTTCGATCCCAGGCGCCGGCGAGAGACAATGGGCAGAGTTTGTTTCACCCTATTCCCCTGTTTTCTAGCAGTAAAATAGGTACCTGGGTGTTAGTCAGCTGTCACGGGCTGCTTCCTGGGGGTGGAGGCCTGGTCGAGGACCGGGCCGCGGGGGCACTAAAAATCCCCGAAATCATCTCAAGATAACCTCAAGATAACCTGCCCTAAACCAAATTAACTTCGCTTGGACCACCAGTGTGCAGTAAGGCTAAGACAACAATTCCTCGTATAAAGCAGGATATCATAGTTTCAGTATCCGTGTGTGTGTCTGTGCTGGGGGATAGAGGAGCATCATCTGGGATACTTGCATCAGCACGCGGTCTGGCCCCTGGGAGGCTTGTGTGTCTCACTTGATACACAGGTCGATCCCCAGCGGCGTCTGGCGTACCCGCACCGTGCCGCAAGCGACCTCCCCCAGCCTGCCTGCCCGTCCGTACCGTGCCGCAAGCGACCTCCCCAAGTCTGCCCGTCCGCACCGTGCCGCAAGCGACCTCCCCCAGCCTGCCCGTCCGCACCGTGCCGCAAGCGACCTCTCCAAGTCTGCCCGCCCGTACTGTGCCGCAAGCGACCTCCCCCAGCCTGCCCGTCCGCACCGTGCCGCAAGCGACCTCCCCAAGTCTGCCCGTCCGTACCGTGCCGCAAGCGACCTCCCCCAGCCTGCCCGTCCGCACCGTGCCGCAAGCGACCTCTCCAAGTCTGCCCGCCTGTACTGTGCCGCAAGCGACCTCCCACAGCCTGGCCGCCGCAACCCGTTCTCGCAAATTCGTAAAGTCAATATTGACTTATTAGCTACGTGCATAGGTGATATACTAAACATAATAGATACCCTTAAAAAGATTCATAGAAAACACCGACCTTACCTAACCTTGTTAGTATCTTAAGATAAGCATCTTATTGCTTCGTAATTACAATTATTACCTAACCTATACCTATTATAGGTTAGGTAATAATTGTAATTACGAAGCAATAAGATGCTTATCTTAAGATACTAACAAGGTTAGGTAAGGTCGGTGTTTTCTATGAATCTTTTTAAGGGTATCTATTATGTTAAGTATGTCACCTATGCACATATTTAATAAGTCAATATTGACTTATTAAATTTGCGAGAACGGGTTGGCCGCCCGTACTGCCCTTGCCTGCATTTGCTGACTGAATATAATTTGACTGGATTTGTACAGAAAGTCGTACTTTACATAATGTGAGCAATTTCGTACACTATAACTAATACATCTTGAACTAATGACCTAGGGAGCGTTGACCTCTGATATTACAGTAAAATAATTAAAGAGTAATATTTGGTGACACAGATATTCTAGTTCGTCTTTTATTCCGCTTGACTATTCCTCCCTCTCTACCCATTCTTGCTCTTGTACCTTGCCGTTGTTGTCCCTTTCGCCTCTCCCTTCCCGTCACTGCCCCGTCACCTCTCCCTTCCCATCACTGCCCCTTCAGACTCTTCCACCTTGGTGTGTGGTACCACCATTTGTCCGGAGTACTGTCTTGAAGGAACCCCATCGTCCCGGCTCTTTGCTGGCCGTGGTGACGGAAATTCGGAACCAACGCAGTTGTATACAGTACGTGGCCTGTTCTCACGTGCTGTGTACGTGAGGTACGGGCACTTACTGGCGGCAGTGCCACCCTGTAACAGCCAGTGAGTGCCGCCGTGGCCAGAGACCCCCGTCACTAACAGAGACAGGTGTTCAAGGCGTATGTACTTGCCTGTGAGTGAGGGAGGGCTTAATATACTAACTAACTATCCTATACTAACTTGGCCTGTCATGAATACAGGTGCTGCCCGTCATAAGATACGTGACAGTCAATGATACTGACAGTGGTGACAGCTGGAGGGGGGGGAGGGGTGTCAGGAGATGGCAACTGGAGAGAGCCAACCAACAGTGACATTTAAAGGGGCGTTAGGGCATGAATAAGTGAAGATAGAGCAATTATGGAGTTGGGTGGTGTGCTGGGGCAGGGAGAGGCGGCCGTGCCGGTCACTGTGCTCGGGCTGGCACGGCCCCTGCCTCCGTACCTGTGGGGGGGGGGGGGAGACTGGCACGGCCCTGCCTCCGTACCTGTGGGGAGAGACTGGCACGACCCTTGTGGAGAGTGTAGAGAAGTAAAGAGAGAGTGATGAGGAACAGCGCGGAGAAAGGGAGAGAGGGTAGGTAGCAAGTGAGGGGAGAGAAACGGAATAGGGGACATAGTAGACAGAAGAGGGGAAAGAAGGGAGACACACGTGCTGAGGCTGTGTTGTTCCTCCTTGTGTGCCCCCTCCCCCTCCCCCTCACTCCCATTCCCTAACCCCCCCCCCCCCTCTTGCTCATTCTGAGGTGTGCCATGTTTAACCTGAATTGTATTCGAAGGTTTTGTTGCGTCTCTCACCTTCTTTATACCTGAAAGTGTATTCCTCTGTAACTTTCTCTGTTACGTTGACACCCTCACGCATGCCAACATCACATCGCACTCAAGCGCTAACATTATTTACATGTATTCACAAAGAAATATACAAACACGAGCGCTCAGTGTAATGTGTAGAAAAAGCTAGGCCTAGATACAGGGGAGACTCCAGAATCGCTTAAATCAGCACGTATGGCGCCTCTACATAAGGGTGGTACTATAGTTTTGGCCCCCCCCCCCAAAAAAAAAGCTATCGCCCCGTCACAGTGACATCTCCAGCCACATACTGGAGCGAAAGATATGTAAGGAAATGCACAATAGATCCAGTGAGGAGTAGCGGTGCCATAGGCACAATCAGAGAGCACTGTCTGAACATCAGAGGTCCACGGCTGTTCAATATCCTCCCAGCTAGCATTAGAGATATTGCCGGAACAAATGTGGAAATCTTCAAGAAGCATTTAGGTAAGTTGTTACAAAAAGTGCCGGACCAAGCAGGTTGTAGCAGCTGCGGGGGCCTGCGGGCCGCTCCAAGCAACAACCTGTTGGACCAAGTTATCACAAGTCGAGCCTGGCCCCGGGCCAGGCTCAGAGAGTAGAAGAACTCCCGAACCCCTCTCCAGGTATGGTCCAGGTTATGTATCCTCCATTACCCCCTCAACATCCCCCTTCCCTTGTTCCCTTCAGGGCCCCTTTAACTCTCCTTCAAGTTAGTCTTGTGGGCAGACTGAGAGCGTTAAAGGGGTGCTTCTGAGGCTCGTGCTAGGAGCCCATCTCCTACTGATTGACAGTACTGATTGTTGGCGCCGGAGGGGGCGGCTAGTTTATTGTGCACCTCATACTCATCCTGTGAGCGGTAGCGCAAAAAGGATTACAGAGGGCACAAAAGGTCTTCATCAGACCTCAATGGAGATTATTTCATCAACAATTTCATCTATCCTTCACACCTTATTATAATGTCAGCTAGTTACAGAGAATGTTCCATTTCAATAGTTGTACCAGAGGTGTCCGGTCCGGGGAGCTGAGAGACAGGTGTGTGAGCTGAGAGACAGGTGTGTGAGCTGAGAGACAGGTGTGTGAGCTGAGAGACAGGTGTGTGAGCTGAGAGACAGGTGTGTGAGCTGAGAGACAGGTGTGTGAGCTGAGAGACAGGTGTGTGAGCTGAGAGACAGGTGTGTGAGCTGAGAGACAGGTGTGTGAGATAGTGCTTTACGTCTCTGGAACCTTCAAGTTTCTTAAGCATTTAGGTGCGCCTTTAGTTACAAAGACGAGGGCGCTTCTCGGTAGATAGGGGGTGGGGGGGGGGGGGGGGGGACACGCATGCGCACAGGCGAGTTCGACATTTAAAAGCGTGTTGTGTTATGGTGATGAGAGTGATAAGGAGAGTGTCTCTCAGCCCATATCGTTCTCAGGGTTGGGACTATGATATATTTGTTAAGCCCGTTCTGGTAAGGGCCAATTAGTGGAGGTGGATCTACTCTCCACGGAAGAGCGCTTCTCACCCAAGTTTTCCAATTAAAAGTGTCGGCCTCCTGTTGAGGGCGGGAGGAGGGGCGGTGGGCGGGTGGGCGGGCAGAGGACCCAGATGGGTGGAGGAGGGGCGGTGGGCGGGTGGGCGCGCGGCAGACGACCGAGAAAGGTATTAGAGGGCGCCTTCCGTTCACAACTACTCTACTTTAATCTTCATTAACTGTTGGCGAGATGAAGAGTTATTCTCCCACAACCTGGCCTGTGGTGATTGGTCTGTGAGGCTGTTGGTCTTCGTGGTGATTGGTCTGTAAAGCTGTTGGTCTTCGTGGTGATTGGTCTGTAAGGCTGTTGGTCTTCGTGGTGATTGGTCTGTAAGGCTGGGCGTCTTCGTGGCTCCAAGGCCACCCTAGTCATCACAGTTTAGCTGATCCGGTAACTGGCAGAAACTGGCCCAGTTCTATCTTGAAAAGCTTCCACCGTTGTTCCAGTGACATTTCTTATATTTATTGACTTTAGATAGAAGAGTGGTACGGCTCTGGTGACCTCTAACTTACGGCGCCTGACTCGTTAACTTTAGTTGAGACTTCCTGCTATGACCTCTGGAGCCATTATGGTGTAATTTTACTGGCCAGGTTTAGCATGTGACCTTCAACAGTACCTTCAACAGTACCTTCCATGTGTATGTTATGAATTGAATTGAACTATCAGGGGGAAAGCGCCAAGCCATTACTACTATATAGCACTTGGAAGGGGCCAGGAATAAGGATTTGGGATGGGACGGGGGTTATGTTATGAGATATATCTCGTCATCATTCCACGGAGGCCAGTTTGACCCGGTAAAGGAGCTCTTGCGCATTCTCCGGCACTACGATGGTGTCTGCCTTGACGGACGAGGCGAGGTAGTCGCCTTAGGTGATACAGTAGTTACGTATTTTGAAGAGCACAATTATTGGTGTGACGGCCCTTGTTGTGAAGGTTCTCATTAATTATCCATCCTGTTATTTTCCTGACTTGCAATGTTGGCTTTATTGAGTTTTATTTTTTTTTTTTTTTATACAGGTGGGTATAGGAACAGACGACTGCTGACTCCTGTTAGTAGGCTGAGGCCTTTCCCTGCCTATAGTTCATGGTAAGCCTTACCTTCTAATAATACTAATACTTCTTCTAATAAGTCTAATACGAGACTTCAATTGTATAACAACCAGGTAGCCAATCACTGCTGGGTGAACAGCAAAAGGATTGGCACCCCGGCCAGGATACGAACCTAGGCATAATCGTTGGGGGAGGCGCGGGGCGGGTGTTACCACTGCGCTACCCATTCAATTAAATTTCTTTATTATTCACCCCATACCCATCCCGTGGGCGGTGGTGTAAAGGATTACAGAGTCACACAATCGGTTCAGGAACTGAACCTTCTAGTTCGTTTAGCACGGACTGTATCTTCAAACATTATTCCAAGGTCTTTTCGCCAAACCTATTTAATTTATTTTTAAATTCTACGTCGAAGAAGTTCTTAGCGACATCTCTCCAACTCATCTATATTTCTAATCACAAATTGTGGCCTCTTGTACTATTTCTCATTTTGAACATAGTCTCTTTGTCAACCCTGCCAATGCTATTAAGATTGATTGATGAAGATTAAGCCGCCCAAAAGGTGGCACGGGCATGAATAGCCCGTAAGTGGTGGCCCTTTGGAGCCATTACCAGTATCAAGAGCTGATACTGGAGATCTGTGGAGGTGCGACTGCACCCTGCGTGACGGGAGATGTCTCCCGAGTGCATGACCGTTCTATTAAGATTTTACATATTAAGATTTTACATGTTATCTTGTTATCTGTGTTCCTCCTTTTCTCCAATGTGGTGAGGTTAGTTCCTTGGGCATTAAGGGAACAAAATAGCCAAAATCAAAATAGGTCCACCCTTATATTATGACAGGTGATGGGGAGTGTGCGAGTGATAAAGACCGAGACGGAACAAATCTATGTTAAGATGACTCAAGGAGTGGTAGGGAGGGAGAGACAAGGAGGCTGGAGAAGCTGCCATTCTGTCGTTACTAAGGCAACCGGCCGTCTCAGAGGGGAGCGGGGGTCGTGCGTCGGATTAGGTACAGGAAGACAGAGAGAGAGAGAGAGAGAGAGAGAGAGAGAGAGAGAGAGAGAGTGAGAGAGTGAGAGAGTGAGAGAGTGAGAGAGTGAGAGAGTGAGAGAGTGAGAGAGTGAGAGAGTGAGAGAGTGAGAGAGTGAGAGAGTGAGAGAGAGAGAGAGAGAGAGAGAGAGAGAGAGAGTGAGTGAGTGGTGGAGTGGGCAGAAAGGGAGGGAAAAAGGAACTTATTTGATAAGATTGGAATAAGCTGCTACGAGTGGCTTCCTAGGGCGTGTATAACAAAAATGAGACCTGGTCGAGGACCGGGATACAGAGACGCTAAGCCCCAAAATCATCTCAAGATAACCTCAAGATTACAGGTGGAAATACAGGAGCAGGAAAGGGCTTGTCATGATGTGGAGAAAGAGGAAGTGAAGACCATGTTTGGTGGAAGACCTGAAAGATGCATTTGGTTTGCAAAAATCCCGACCAGATGTTAGGAACAGTTATTAAACTGGACAGTTGTTGACAAACTGACATGCATTGTTTTGTGACCAAAAACACAGGCTTGCAGGGAGCCGGTCGGCCGAGCGGACAGCACGCTGGCTTGTGATCCTGTGGTCCTGGGTTCGATCCCAGGCGCCGGCGAGAAAACAATGGGCAGAGTTTCTTTCACCCTATGCCCCTGTTACCTAGCAGTAAAATAGGTACCTGGGTGTTAGTCAGCTGTCACGGGCTGCTTCCTGGGGGTGGAGGCCTGGTCGAAGACCGGGCCGCGGGGACACTATAAAAGCCCCGAAATCATTTAAAGATAATACGGGCTCACCATAGCCCGTGCTACATGGACACTCCGTCCTGAATAGCTAAATCTTTAACAACAACTCAAGATAACCTCAAGATAACCTAACCTCGCAAAAACTCGCATAAATCATAAGACGAATATGGAGGAATGTCAGAAGTTTTGGACCAGACTAGTCCCGTAAGTAAGAAGCATAAGTTACGAGGAAAGGCTACGCGAATTTAAGATTGACACAAGATTTAGGGAGACATGATTGCCACGTCTAAAATTCTCAGGGGGATTGATTAGGACAGACTATTTAGCACGGGTGATATTCGCACCAGAGGAGTACCCAAATGAGCCCCAGACATATTAGAAACAATTTTTTCACTCAGAATTATGGTACAAATTGAATGCACAAGGAAGTGATTAGATGGTGGCAGACTCCACATAGTTTCAAATGTAGATATGATTCATGCCAGTAGGCTCGGGAACCTAGTTGATTAACAGTTAAGAGGCGGGACCAAAGTGCCAGAGCTCAACCCCTGCAAGCACAACTAGGTGCGTACAACAAGGTTAGTACACACACACACACACACACACACACACACACACACACACACACACACACACACACACACACACACACACACACACACACACACACACACACACACACACACACACACACACACACACACACACACACACACACACACACACACACACACACACACACACACACACACACACACACACACACACACACACACACACACACACACACACACACACACACACACACACACACACACACACACACACACACACACACACACACACACACACACACACACACACACACACACACACACACACACACACACACACACACACACTGAATTACTAATTAATTACCAACTTGATAGCGCCCCGTTCTTGATGTGAGAGAGACACTGGGCCTCCCCCCTTTCCCCGCCCCCCACACGCCTCCTAAACAAGCACCAACACGCCAGGGAAGGCCCGAGGCATCTTAAGTGACAAGCTGAAGTAAATAGTTACTGGAAATGCTGTTTTTGCCTGTGTATGATTTTGAGAGTTGTGTTTGCGGGCAGCCTAGCTTAGGTTCTTGGTGGCAGGGGTTCCTGTATGGAGGTATGTTGTGGTGTACCCCCAAGTGTGGGGGGGGGGTATATATGAGAATATCCCTCCTAATACTGGACCGGGGCCAGTGTATGTTTTGTATATCCTGGTGTGTGGTGTGTATGTTTGAGAGCGGTGCTGGGGAAGCTGGTGCAAGTGTGTGTAGTGTGCATGCATTTGTTTTTGCTTTTTTTGTTTTGTTTTTGCTCTCTGTCTGTCTGTCTGTGTCTCTCTTTCTCTCTCACTCACTCACTCACTCACATACACACACACACACACACACACACACACACACACACACACACACACACACACACACACACACACACACACACACACAAATTCAGAAATTTGTGTAAAGAATCATTCAGAACTTTGTATACCACATATGTCAGGCCAATCCTGGAGTATGCAGCCCCAGCATGGAGTCCATATCTAGTCAAGGATAAGACTAAACTGGAAAAGGTTCAAAGGTTTGCCACCAGACTAGTACCCGAGCTGAGAGGTATGAGCTACGAGGAGAGACTACGGGAATTAAACCTCACTTCGCTGGAAGACAGAAGAGTTAGGGGGGATATGATCACCACATTCAAGATTCTGAAGGGAATTGATAGGGTAGATAAAGACAGTCTATTTAACACAAGGGGAACACGCACAAGGGGACACAGGTGGAAACTGAGTGCCCAAATGAGCCACAGAGATATTAGAAAGAACTTTTTTAGTGTCAGAGTGGTTGACAAATGGAATGCATTAGGGGGTGATGTGGTGGAGGCTGACTCCATACACAGTTTCAAGTGTAGATATGACAGAGCCCGATAGGCTCAGGAATCTGTACACCTGTTGATTGACAGTTGAGAGGCGGGACCAAAGAGCCAAAGCTCAACCCCCGCAAGCACAACTAGGTGAGTACAACTAGGTGAGTACACACCCCCACGCACACCCACCCACCCCAATCCACGTAATTTTAATTCATTGTACTTATTTGGCCTCAACCTGGCACCGCTATATTTCAGTATAAAGCTTTAAATTTATTATAGACGACGGAAAGGTTTAGCAGAGCATGCGGCGACCTTGTTAGTTGTGTGTGGTAGTTGTGCTGTGTTTACCCGTCTGGTCCTGGGTGGTTGATGGTCCGTGTGTTAACATCCCACTCTCACGCGGGCTGGCCTGCGTGTGGTATCGTACGCATTAGCCTAGAAAACCCGGCTATTGTAAGCTGCTTTACACACACCTGGCGTCATCAAGAGACGCCTACTCTAAGGCCAGCAAGGGACCCCCACTCTAAAGCCAGCAAGGGACCCCTACTCTAAAGCCACTAAGGGAGCTCCACTCTAACAAGCTGGTTAACCAAACGTGGACTAGAGGTGGTACGGATATCATTAATTTCTAGATTTGATTGCGTGGAATGTAGTACTCTTGTACAATCTATGGCAGGTGCGTGCGTCGGGTTGCGTGCATGCGTGCATTTCCTCCAGACTTACTAACCGCTCGGAGCGCGGCAAGGCCAAAAAAAAAAAATTTGTTTACATCAAAATTGCGTTTTTGGAGCCTAGCGACAGAGAAACTTTTTGGGCCAATATCTGAAATAGCTCTTTGTGTGTGTGGGGTTGGCGCACGGTATGTCAGGGGCGACATATGTAGTAATGGACGAATGTCCATTACTACAATTATTTTGGGGAAGAATTATACCAATCGAGAGCCACTATTTGATTTAGAATCGTGACTGGAAGCAGAATAAAAGTTATCTGCAGTTGAATACAGGCATTTTTTCACGGGCTGTAGATTAGACAGGACCTCCCCTACCCAAGCGGTGCCCTTGGGTAGGGTTGAGGCAGTCACGAAAGGGTGGTTGGGTAAAGTTTTTTTTATTTATTGGGCGAGGATTGGAGAGGCAGGTAGGGGGATTGGGGGGGGGGGGATTAGAAATGTGTGGATCGTAGTAGGAAGCCGTAGCGTTCTGGGGCTTGGCTTGGCACCTGTGGGTGCCCGCTCACACCTGTGGGTGCCCGCTCACACCTGTGGGTGCCCGCTCACACCTGTGGGTGCCCGCTCACACCTGTGGGTGCCCGCTCACACCTGTGGGTGCCCGCTCACACCTGTGGGTGCCCGCTCACACCTGTGGGTGC